TCAGAATTGGTATGGTTGGTCAATACGAGTTACATTGTGTATATTTTGTTAATTTTGCCATGGAAGGAAACGTGAGAACCTGGAGCAAACACATTCAGAACAGGAGAGAGAGAGAGAGACCATACAAACTCCACAATTGAAAAATAATTTATTTGAAAGTTTTTTAGTGTTTAGTTTGTTGTCCTTCACCCGCACCTACGATGATCACGGTTGGCTACGTACGGTGCGAAAGAAGTTAGACAAACATACATACAAGTATCGTCGCCCGAGTCGGGAATCGAACCCAGGTGGTTATTGCAGTGAGGCGCGAGCGTGTCGATAGTCCACGGGTGCCCCGCGTCGTCATCTCGCGGTTGGCCAGGCGAGATGTTAACTCCCTCGCCTAGTCTACAGGAGGTCGTGGGCTCGATCCCAACCCTGACGCCTGCTGCTGCTGCTGCTGTATATTTGGAGTTTGCGTGTCTCTCTCCCCGTGGCCGCGTGGATTTTTCTCCGGGACCTGCGGTTTTCCCCTCCACATTTAGAATCAACATCACCGCGCGTTTAGAGTGTTTGACTGCTACTATAAATGTCCACATGAATAAGCCACTTCGTTGTGGTGTATCATTTGTGGACAGGTCGCTTCTGAAAAAGAGCTATGTAACTCAGTGGGGCCTAAACTGTTACAATAAAACAGTTCACTCTTTTAGCATCTCGTCGCAGGGACGGGGGACGTTCCCCTATAGGCTGGGGTCACGAGCTGGCGTGTCGCCTCTCACCTGCATCGCGTGAGCTGCTCATCTCTCGCGGCCTGAGAGAGCGATGCCGAGCGGAATGTAGAAGCGTCTTAATGAGCGCCGCATTAATTGGGGCATTTGTCCAGAAACGCCTCGTTCGGTTTCGAGACGCTAACAATAGAGCGAAGACCAGAATAGCTTTGCTGTTCAGGAGGCGCTCGTCTGTTCTGGAGATGCCTCTAACCACGCCATAACGAGTTTGAGTCTCAAGACTTTTTTTTCTGGTGACCCCATTGATTTTTAAGTGGTCGGCTTTAGTCGGCTGCTAAATTTAAACACAGACGCTTCGTACAGTCGTGAAATAGTTACGCGGCCAAAAAAGGGGGTTAATGATTGGCAGCTTTCCGCTTGCTTCGGTGATGTCTGGCGAGTTGTTTGCTGCGTGTGGATGAGTATCCGGTCAAATTCATTCGAGTTTGCCGTGTGGGGATGCTTCTGGAGAAGTCGCAGGTTAATCCCGTACTCACAAGAGAGGTCACGAAACCGCCTACCAGTTCCAAACATCTCTGCGCGACCCATCACCTCCAGGCTACCTCCACAGTTTGCGGTGTCTCTCTCTCTCTCTCACTCACCGTGGATTTGTCTCCGGGTCCTCCGGTTTCCCCCTCCACATTAAGATTCAACATCACCACGCGTTTAAGAGTGTTCGGCTGCTATACATTTCCACATGAGGATGAGCTCTCATTTGCGATAGCCAGGTCGCTTCTGAAAAAGAGCCACACAACTCAGTGGGCTTCACCTGGTTAGAAACACAATAAGTCATATTTAAACATACTTTTTTTTAAAACACGCTTTAATGAAATGTACCGTACGAGTAATGGCAGAACTCCACGACTCCAGGAAGTGGCCCCGAGGCTTGCCATAGCGTAAGGGGACCGTGGTGATTTACCGCCAACGTGAGTTGAGCAGTGGACAATTAGACCCAAGCCGAAACATAAGATATAGAAAAGATTGCTTAAAAATATATATTTTATTTTTAATGATAGAATATATTATTGTCATCAGTATGACATACGTATACCAAGTTTGCAGTCGATATGACATTGTGAAGTGGGTTAAATTTTAGTTACAAGATTTGAGGATACAACATAGTTGAGGATACAACAGACAAGAGTGAGTTAAATATAAAAGCGTGAAAAAATAAAAACATTGCGCTGGGGCGACCACCCCCAGTGGTGTGGGCAAAGGGGTTAGGGGGTGAATGACCACCCCAGTGGTGTGGGCAAAGGGGGTAGGGGGTGAATGACCACCCTAGTGGTGTGGGCAAAGGGGGAGGGGGTGATTGACCACCCCAGTGGTGTGGGCAAAAGGGGTAGGGAATGAATGACCACCCCAGCGGTGTGGGCAAAAGGGGGTAGGGGGTGATTGACCACCCCAGCGGTGTGGGCAAAGGGGGTAGGGGGTGAATGACCCCCAGCGGTGTGGGCAAAGGGGTTAGGGGGTGAATGACCACCCCAGTGGTGTGGGCAAAAGGGGTAGGGAATGAATGACCACCCCAGTGGTGTGGGCAAAGGGGGTAGGGGGTGATTGACCACCCCCAGTGGTGTGGGCAAAGGGGGTAGGGGGTGAATGACCACCCCAGTGGTGTGAGCAAAAGGGGTAGGGAATGAATGACCACCCCAGTGGTGTGGGCAAAGGGGTTAGGGGGTGAATGACCACCCCAGTGGTGTGGGCAAAAGGGGTAGGGAATGAATGACCACCCCAGTGGTGTGGGCAAAGGGGGTAGGGGGTGAATGACCACCCCAGTGGTGTGGGCAAAGGGGGTAGGGGGTGATTGACCACCCCAGTGGTGTGAGCAAAGGGGGTAGGGGGTGAATGACCACCCAGTGGTGTGGGCAAAGGGGGTAGGGGGTGATTGACCACCCCCAGTGGTGTGGGCAAAGGGGGTAGGGGGTGACTGACCACCCTAGTGGTGTGGGCAAAGGGGGTAGGGGGTGAATGACCACCCCCAGTGGTGTGGACAAAGGGGTTAGGCCGTTAGGGGGTGATTGACCACCCCCAGCGGCCTGCACTGCCCCGGTCGAGCCAGCAGGCGGCTGCAGGACGCCCTCGCCCGTGACGGATGCTCGCGCTCAGGGACCCAGTGGGAGTTGTTGTTGTTCTGTTGTTGTTGTTCTGGCGGAATGGTCAGCACACCGGACTTGCAATCCGCAGGTCGCCGACGGTTCAGTTCCCTCTCCCAACGCGGCAGCAGGAACAATGTGGGTCACGTGTCCTTAGTCCACCCAGCAGTGAAGACAGTGAATGGCTCCACCGGCTAGGTTCATCCAGTACGTCCGTCTAGCGTGGAAGAGTAGGCCAAAGTATATTGTAGAGGGGCTCTCCAGAGTTCCTTCGAGCGGAGGCACGTGTCGCCCGCGGTGTCGTGAGCGAGCACTTGCAGGCGCTGCGCCTTCACCTTTCACCTGCGCAGTGCACGGCACGCACGACTGTGACCCGTAGCCACATCAGCACATGCCGTCGTGGTTCCCCGATTTGCCCCAATCCGTTGACGTTACGCATTGGACGTTACGACACCAAAGCGCTGACCGCTTCCACACCTTTGAACCCACACATTTTTATCACTCCATCACCCACTCACCTTGTCACTCACCGAATCACTCCATCACCCACTCACCCTGTCACTCACCCAATCACTCCATCACCCACTCACCCTCTCACTCACCCAATCACTCCATCACTTACTCACCCTGTCACTCACCCAATCACTCCATCACCCACTGACCCTCTCACTCACCCAATCACTCCATCACCCACTCACCCTGTCACTCACCCAATCACTCCATCACTTACCAAATCACTCACCAACCCACGAACTCACTCCATAACTCACCCATTCACAAAACCATGCACTCACCCACTAATTCACACTACTCACCAAGCATCCACACACACACACTCACCCAGCTACTCACGTATCTGCTTACCCACACACTCATCCACCCTATCACTCACCCACTCACTCACCCTCTCGCTCACTCCCTCACCATTTCACTCACCCTCTCATTCACCCTCTCACATTCGCGTATTCCGCAGGAGCACGTTGCATCGCCCCCCACTTCCCTACACCCCCCTAAAACTCGCTGTCTCGCCGTGTCTGTCCTTGTACCTGTCTCTGTATGTCCGTGTCTGCCTCTCTGTATGTTTCTTTGTCTACGTCTCTCCGCATCTCTGTCTGTTCCTCTCGGTAGCATGCGTCGATCAGTGTCTGCCTGAGTATCTCTGTGTGCATCTCTTTGCGTGTGTGTTTGTATGTTTGTCTCCGTGTCTCATCTGTGAAGTCGTCTCCATGTCCCTCTCCCCAGTCCTCCCATTCTCATTCGCATGTAAACCTCGCTGAATCGTCGTGTCACTCTCTCGCACTCTCGCGCACACTCTCTCCATCCATCCATCCCTCCGCTACCTCCATCGCCAGGATCATCATCATCATCGCCTCGCCCCTCCGTCAGTGACGTTGGCGGATGTAGCCGAGGGATGTGATGGGGAGAGTGGAGGGGGAGGAGAGAGGGAGGAGGAGAGAGGGAGGGAGGGAGGGAGTATGCGGTTGGACTGGGCGCAGAGGGGGGCGATTCCTCCGTTATTGTCTCTCTCCGTGGCTCGCTTGGTGCAGGGCGTCGGAGCTGCTGGGCGCGTTACGACTCGCATCCCGTTCGCCCATCACCACCGCCATCACCACCATCACATCACCATCACATCACCACCATCACCATCATCCCAGCAGCGAGGCCACGCCGAGGATCGCGATGTCCAGCGGGCGACACGCAACAGAGGCGAGAGTGGACGGCTGCCGCAGCAGCAGCGGCAGCAGCAGCAGCAACAGCAGCAGCTGTATCAGCAGGAGGAGCTGCAGCAGTTAGCCTCGACCACACGGGCCCGCGCGGTGCGAGAGGGGCAGGAGGAGGAGAGAGGGCGGAGGAGGGAGCGCTCATTTAATTCACAACGGCCGCTCGCCGCCAGCGCTGCGTGAGCGAGAGAGAAGGGGCCGAGGAGGAGGAGAGAACGAGTCGAGCGGCAGGAGGAGCAGGAGTGGTGGTGGTGGTGGAGGAGGAGGGGAAGATGGTGGACCCCGTGGGCTTCGCAGAAGCGTGGAGAGCTCAGTTCCCCGACTCGGAGCCGCCCAAGATGGAGCTGCGCAGCTTGCGGGACATCGAGGGGGAGCTGTGCAGCTGCAAGAACAGCATCCGTCGCCTCGAGGTGGAGGTGAACAAGGAGCGATTCCGCATGATCTACCTGCAGACGCTGCTCGCCAAGGAGAAGAAAGGCTACGACCGCCAGCGCTGGGGCTTTCGCAAGTCCGCGCAGGGCGGCGTTGCCGGCGGCGGCGTCGTCGTGCCGGGCCCCGCGGGGGACGAGGCCGGCCCGGACGACGATGGCGATGACCCGGCCGGAGAAGGTCGCGGCCGCCGCAGCCGCCGCCGCGGCCGCCCTGGGAGGCGAGATGCCCGGCGGCGGCGGCGGCGTCGGCGGCGCGGACGGAGAGAGGCCCTTCCCCGAGAGCCCGTCCCACCTGCGCCGCCACGCCGCCGACCCCGACGAGGGCTTCGAGGACACCATCGCCTCGTCCCGACACCGCCGCGCCAAGGCGCCGGATAAGAGCCCCTTGCCGCCCGGTCTGGTCATCGCCCCGGGCAAGGGCGCCAAGGGCGGCGAGCCGGGATCCCCTGCGGCCGCGGGCAGCCCCTGCAAGTCCCCGCGTGTGCCCGGGCCCCCCGCCGAGCCGCGCGCGAGGCGTCACAGCTCGCAGACGAGCGAGGAGGCGGCGCTGTGCGGCGGAGGGTCGCGGGGCAGCCCCGGAGCCGAGAAGTCCTCCTCGCCTCTCCAGCAGCAGCAGCTGCTGCCCCCCTCGTACGCCAACGTGGAGTTTCACGCCGAGCGGGGCTTGGTCCGCCTCAACGAGCGCGAAGTGTCCGACCACATCAGCTCGCTGGGCAGCGAGGCCATGCGCATGGAGAGACGCAGGGGTGGCTGCGGCACGGCCTCGCGGGAGCCGTGCGTCTCCCCGGGCAGGGACCCCCCCCAGCTGCGCGGCCCCAGCGGCCCGGGCGTCTCGGCGTCGTCCTCCTCCGGCCGGCACCACCACCACCATCACCACCAGGCCGCCTCCCACGTGGGCTACGAGGCCGACTACGAGGACGCGGAGCCTCCGGGCCGCTTCTTCGCCGCGTCGCCCAAGCAGCACCCCAAGCGCGAGCGGCCCCCGTGGCACGTGGCCGAGGAGGCCGCGGGCGTCCCCGAGAGCGCCGCTCTCACGGACGGGGACTCCACCTACGGGACCGGCTCCAGGGAGCAGCTCTACCCGAGCAGCTGCCGGCGCCTGCCCGGGACCGCGGGGCCCGGGCTGGGGGGGCCCCCGGGCGCGGGGTTCGTGGCGTGCAAGGAGGAGCGGCTGAGCTGGCCCAAGCAGCAGCAGCAGCGTGCGCACTCGCCCAGCAGCCTCGAGGACGCCGGGGGTGGATACACGCCCGACTGCAGCTCCAACGACAACCTGACCTCCAGCGAGGACGAGCTATCCTCCCCGGGGGGCCGCTCGGGTCGCGGCGGCGGCGGTGGTGGAGGAGGTGGAGTTGGTGGTGGCGGTGGCGCTGGAGGCGGAGTTGCCATGGGGCTTGCGGGCACGGGGGCCTCCGCGAGTCCCGCGGCTGGCTCCAGCTCGTACCGTCTGTTCCGCGAGCGCGAGAACCGCTCCCCGAGCCAGAACTCGCAGCACTCCCTGGACAGCAGCAGCCCGCCGACCCCGCACGGCCACGGCACCCCGGCAGGGCTCGGCGGCAGCGGCGGGGGAGGCGGCGGAGGCGGCGGAGGCGGCGGGGGAGGAGGTCGCAGGGCGGTGCGGGGGAAGCCCAGCGGGGGGCCCGGAGCCAAAGCCGTGACCCCTCCCGGAGGGGGGCCCGACTCCCCGCAGCGCTCCCCCGCCGGCCTGGGCCCCAAGCGAGGGCCCCCCGCCAGGAGCCGCTACGGAGCGCCAGACGATGTGTTCGACGCCTATCCAGGTGAGTGGCGCCTTCAAGGAGGACCGCGAATCGGACGGAGAGAGACGCGCTCCGATCTCTTGTCCCAACAGAATGGGGCCCTTGCCCCAACATTCTGAAGCTGCCCTTCACACACCTGAAGCTGCGAGTCCCGTTCGTCAGGCCGCTGCGGTGACGTCAGCGCGCTCTATGAAATGCGTGGCGGCATCGCGCGCGTCTCTCGTGGTGCCGTCCCAGGTGCTGGCACAACGCCCCCCCCCCCCGAGTGCTGTGATGACGCGCCCCCCCCCCCGCAGGGACACCAAGGGATGGGGCAGGTCGTGGACGTGCGCGGCCTCGGCGCGTAGCTGCAGGAGAAGAGCTGCTGCCGTTGTCCTCCTGCGGCCTTACGCGACGCGTCCGATCGTTTCGAGTGCGCGAGACCTCGGCCGCGGCTCGTCTGTGGACGATGCGAATGATGCGTGACGGCGCGGTCGGCAATATTGGCGATGCATGGGGAGACTCGTCCCCGCCATGAGAACGTGGCATTTCCACCCATGTGCTCTGGGCTTTAAGCAAGAGAATGAGCGCCACGTTCGTTTAAACGGGAAACCACTCTGGTGGCCAGCGTTGGGGGATCACACGAAGATGTGTGAAACGCCCAGGTCGGACACATGGCAGTACAGCAAGTGGGTTCGCGCACTACGCGTCTGCATAGCGGACCGATGTCCCCTCGTATGCGTGGTGGGGTTTTCTCTGGCTATTCTGTACGTTGAACTTCTTTCGCACCGTACGTCACCAACCATACACGAACGCTCGTGTAATTAGAATATGAAGTATTGACTCATGCAGATGTAGTTGGGAGTCGTGCAAAGTGACTCGGTTGGGCGCTTTGTGTAAACACGTGACATCATCGCAGCCATCATCAGTTAATTCTTTACAAAGCACAACCAACACCGATACAATCCAAGACGCCTCGCTCGTTGGGTATTTTCCGTAGCCCCCCACCACCACCCCCCACAGCAGGGGCGGGGTGGGAAGGTTTTGGGGGGTTGAGGGGAGTATTTTCCGGAGCTCAGCCCCGTGGAGAGCCTGGGCTGCAATGAAGCCGTGGGTACAATCGTCTCTTGTAAATGCCCCTGCTGCAGCGTGATTGTGAATGAGTGAGTGAAATATGGGAGGTAATGGAGCAAGGGCTGATTTAATGGGCATAATAATAATAATAACGGCCAGCTGACGTTAGTAAATATGGGTTAATTGCCTCTCCGGATCGGGCGCCGCGCTGATAGTGAAACATCCACCGAGCCACGTGCGGCGTGGAGGCCACGGCAACCAACAGCGGCCCTCGCTCCACGGGGACACGATGGCGTGGCGGTGAGCGCGCCGCGCCATGAAACCCGTAAACGACCTCAGAGAGCGATATTCCGAACCGGTCTGTCTACGCCAACCCACGGTAACCATCTCGGCGAAGTACGGTCAACACAAATCCACCCATGATTAACGTGGCGTGGAGAGGCAATCCTCCATTGGGGGATTGAGAGCGGCTGGATTTGATGAATGTGTTTGTATCCAGCAGTGGATTGACCTTGGCAGATTATGATTTATACCCTCAGCGTGGACCACAGGGTTCTGAAACCCAAGGCCTCCTGCCCTCCTCCCTGTCCATCAATGTGCCTTTACTGATCAATCAATGCTCCTAATTGGAATGTAATCCTAAGCAGCCATGCGTTGAGCGAATCTGTTGATTGGTGAATAAATGATTCGCTGCTGCTGCTGCATTGGCAGCAGTGCAAAAAACAACATGACAACAGCAACATCAACAACACAAGAACTAAACGCATTCGTCAAAGGCTCGGCACAGCCGTCGCCCAGGGCGGCGTGGCGGACGAAGGCGGCGGCGTTGTTGGCTTGCCGTGTTGATTGGGAAACGCGGCCGGACACGGAGCAGGGGGCGAGCGGTTGGGGGGGGGGGGGGGCAAAGCTCCCCTCGCCTAGCCAGAACTAGCCAGCTAACAACCAGTCCTGCACTAGCCCTCCCACTGACCATAACCAACCAGCCACTCGTACGAGCCATACCCCTAACCCTGACGAATTAGCCAGCCTGTCACTAGTACTCGCCTTGTCACTGACCTTAACCCTCGCCAACTGCCAACTGGTACTAGTCCTAAACACTGACGCTAACCAACCAGCCACTAGTATTAGCCCTGGCACTGGCCCTAACCCTACCTCTGGTGTTTCGCGAGGGCCTATCTTCACTTTTTGTCCACTTGTCAGATTTCGGTTCTCAGTGACAGAAGGGGAACCCCGTCCATCCGCGTGTGGCTCGATGGTTGGGCCCCCACCCTTGCTAGAGATTGGCCAAACACCCAGTAAGCAAGTCACGAGGGTCCTCGTGAGATGAAGGCCATTGGACTCGGTGAAGCTTCCCTGGACAAATCAGTGACACCGTGAGTTGATCACTTTTGTAAGTCACGTTGCGTTCGGTCGAGCAATGTGTACACCTCCTCCCTACTGTGTGTTGGAATGGGCGTGTGTCAGATTTGGGCTCTGGTAAAGAAACTGGACAACGTGATAATTATGATATCTAATCAGCACACTCACGGTGGTGGAACGGCGGCACAGTGATTAGCGCACTGCGCTACCTACGAACCCGACTACCCGAGTTTGAGTCCAGGACACGGGTGACATGAGCGGTGAGCGACATCCGAACCGGACTTGGGTGCCCCCCCCCCCCCCCACTTTCCCCGGTCGCTAACCCGCAAAACTGACCAGCGCGGTGAAGTATGGACACACCACCCCCATGACCGACATAGCGTGGAAAGCTCTTCATCCAGCAGTGGATTGACAGAGGGCTGTAATGCAACTGGAGGCATAGGTGGAGAGAGGAGGCATTGACAGAGGTCAGAGCCTTGGGCCCACAGGGCCGCGGTTTTGCGCGTGGTGACCTTTACGATCCGGTGCCACTCGTCGTCTGATAGGTGACGGGTGGGCACGCTTGGCTTCACTTTGAGGGAGCCACAAACTCCGCCTTGGGTTTTACTAAAGTCTAAGTTGATGATGTGAGTGAGTATATGGGTCTCTGTGAGTCTGAGTCTCTGTGTTAGTCTCTGCATCTATTACCGCCTTTGGAGTTTCTGTGTAAATCTTTTGGCCTCTATTTGAGTCCGTTGGTTTCTATGCGAATCTTTTAGTCTCTACGCGAGTCTATGAGTCTCTGTGCGAAATCAACGGGTCTCCGCGCGAGTCTTTGGGCCACTCTGCGTGCTCATCGCAAGCTGCGTAAAGTCCCCCCTGGATCTCTAGCGCAACCCACACACCGCAGATGTCAGCGACTGGGCCGGCATCTCTTGGGTCACGACCCAACCTGTCCACCTCGTGGCCCTGAATCACTCGGCGGTTGGTCCTGCGCTCGCTTGCCAGGCGGGGCACGGTGGGTGGGAGGTGGCGGGGGTCTCGCCGCGGCGGTGTGATTCACGCCGGAGAGTGGAGAGCGGATCGATGGCCGAATGAGCTCATTCATTTATGACGCGGGCGATGAGGTGAGAGCCTGGGGGGACACAGCCTGCAGGATTCCCCACCTAGAGCAACGCGGGCAGGGGCAGGAGGAGGACGAGACGACAGGGAGGGGAGCTGGAAGGATGCAGGGGGAGGGACAGAGATCTGTGACTCGAGCAGCCGACTCCGCCTGCAACAGTGGGGAACTCTTGGCTTCGAAGAAGATGCAAGTCCACGGCTCTCTATGTTAGTCTACGGATCATTTCAGTGAAATGTGAGTCCATGGTTCTCTGTGTAAGTTCTTGGGTCTTTGTGTAATCATGGTGGATGTGATTAGAGAAGAGGCACTGAGTAGAATCTCGCGCAGAAAGGAAATCTGAGCAGCTTTCCCCCACGCAGCCCGTAAGACTTCTGGATTAGAGTAAGGAGGTGAGAGCTGCCCTCTGCGCCCGGGGGCTGCGTGCAGAAGCTGCTCTTACCAACACTCGGGCTCAAGAGTTGTCTTTCCCCGAGTTGGGCACTGAGACCATCATTGTCGCTTTGGAGAAATGAATGTAATAAATGAGCTTAATAACGGTGATGGCTTCGGCCAGGCCTTAATTCAGCCGCGGATTGATCGTGGCCGATGTCGAAACGTCGACTTACTTATCCCTTTAAACAGAAACGCTTGGCCTCAGCAGGCTCTGGCCCGGTTGTAAATAACTGGGCTGACCGGTGGTCGATTTTATACGAGCCCTAGTCCCATCGATTCGCGAACCCAGCCCTGCTCCGGACGGCGTTAAGCGGAACGGCGGCGGCAGGAATAGCGGAGCCATCGGGCCAGGTCGGGAGAACGCGGTGACCTCGTGCGTGACCCTCGCTGACCCCGCCGTGACCTCTGACCCCACGTCACGCGCGCGGGGTCGAGCCTCGTTCACCGCCCCGCGGTCGTGGGCGGCCAAAACGAGGACACCGCCGTGGCGCGGCTCGCGGAGGGTCGAATGCCGTCGATGTGTCGTCGATTGCTGTCGACTGCCATCGACCGCTTGACGATTCTCACCACCGCTGCGCTCCGACTCGGCTCCTAGCGACGCCGATTGCCGGCCGCTCCCCAACGTCGCCCCCCCCATCCCCCGCAAAGCCACCTCCTGGCGTAGGTGCCCCACTGCCTTGCGGTTTATGAAAAGTCTCAAGGTAAAACAGTTGTCCGTCAAATCACGCGCACAGCCAGTATTTGCGTCGCTCTCGTCATGCAGGGCTACTCGGGGTTTCATTCCGGCAGGTTCTGATCAGGTCAGGGACCCGGAATATATTTCATCATCCGGGCACACCACATCCAATAGATCTTTCGCAATCGCTTGTGGCTACCAGTCACCGACTCCTCGCTGGCTGCCAGCCACCTGGAGAATGTCCATTGAGAGTGTAGGCCGTGCTCCCCTAGCGCCTCGGGGTGTAACGGTGCGGCAGATGAAACAATGCGAACGTTTCTCAACTCCGACTGCCTCCACGCACCCAGTGGTACGAACGGGATTCGATTGGCACGGCGCGTGCGGTGGGGTAAAGTGTGG